GGGGGTTGGCGGGTACTGATGAAGTCCCCGATTGATTCATACATCAAACGGGGGCTGGCTGAATAACAGAGGGGATGTGAATGACATTAGAACAGCTGATCCTGGGCATTAGCACCTCGTGGGACGCTGCATGCTGCCTTTTAATTGTGGCCCCCCACCCCGCAAACACACACAAAAACACCCCCTTAGAGGCCACCTCCCTCTCCATCTCCTCCACCAAGGACAGATAGCATGTATAGTATCTGGAAATGCATTCAAAACAATAAGGCTGTTATAAAGGCCGCTGGAGACGTCCTTTCTTCGTCCCTTCGTGCTGCTAATGTACATTCGGCTTTTAAGTACGCGCAGGGTATACTTCCTTTCAATGTATCTTTTTGATTCTGTTTGATTCTACTTTAAAAGGAAGTGGACAAAGGGAATGCACAAGATGGATTCGTTACATCACCGTTGAGGATAGACACACCATTACCTTAAAGATGGAGATATCTTGAGCAGAGATTGGTGGAAACATGGGCCAAAGTGTGGTGACTCTGGATCTTTTTGACTCTTCTTAATAACATCAAGAGCATTCATATGAATAAAGTCCCAAAGTCATGCCTCTAAGAGCTTTACAATCTCTCTACAATGTACAGCCGTCTATCTTTAGATCCTGGAGCATGATGCTATCGCATGCCACGGGGAGCGCCCGGAGGAATTAAGAGGGATGGATAGAGAGTGTGCCAGTCTTACATCCAACTCAGTCCTTACAAGATGATTTCTATCTTTTGGGCGGCTTCTTTTTTACAGCGATTCAAAACGGTCTTGTGTTGTACTCGCTTATGGCAGTTTCCCCAGCTGGAAAAACAACTGAGACAATCAGAGCTCTTCAGGCAGGATTAAGAAGAGGGATGTTATCTTCCTGTGCCAGAGCCAGAATAATGGCAACAGAAAAATTGTCTCAAATTCAATGTTCTGCAGGCTGGGTCATTCAGACACATTTTCTGTGTGATTTTTGAGTGTTTACATGTGGTTTCTTTTTTTAAACTGGCCTTCTCAAAGGATTTGGGTCGGGGGGGCATCCCAGGTAAAACAAAAAAAATCACCATTAAACTTGATTAGTTAGCATGGAAGGGGATTGAGGCCAAATGTGACATTTGTTTTTTAGATCTGCCCAAAAGTTTTTTTTTTTGTTGAGAATTCTGACTTTCTTTCTCAGAACACACTACGCTCATTAGGCATTATCCTATTGAGATATATTCCAAAACACTGACATGAAGTGTGTTGAAGCTTGTTCAAATCTCATGTTTGATTCTATTGACGTATTAGCGTCAGAGGATTTTAGAGAGGGGATTTTGGATATCTTTCCATATCTCAAAATGTATCTGTAAATACTGTCAGCAGCCTTAAATGAAAATAAATGCATGTTTTTTAGAAATAACATTTGATTTAAATCAGGATACGGAAGATATATTAACAAAACCCCTCTTCGGAAGAATTCAGAATATAGAAAGAAATGAATTTTGAAGGTTTGGTGAATGTTAGTGATACTGAAGTGTATATCTTTGGCTGAGAGATTGATTCCAACATGAAACTTCCCAAGATTTTTTGCTCATTTTTGTGCATTGTGGAGAAATCTGCAACATACAAAGATATATAAAAAAAATATATATATATATGTATGTATTCTGAGGTTTTCTTTCCACCAGCCTGAAAGAAGACATGTTATGGAAGCAAAATATCCCAAAATATAAAAAATTGAACAGTGATTGACAAGCCATATTTTTGCCTGGGGTGTCTCTCTTTAACCATACAGCTATCATGATGCTCTGGTATGCAATACGTGGTGTTGCTGTGACCTAACAACATCATGTCGAGTGATTCATCATCTTCTTTCTTTCATGTAGGTAAAACAATAAAAACTGCTCCTAGGAAGTGTTTACCGATCATGTGTCAAAGGTTAAAGCATGTTCAGGGGACACTGAAACATGTCTTTCTGCACATTACCTAAAGTTTAACCTTCTGAATATGTCGCCACACTGACGGTAATAATAGGGTCCTGCTGTGCGAGACACAACGCCACCACGGAGGGGAATTACCTCGCTCTGGGACTCTCACATTAAACAATCTCAAGCAGGCAGCAGGGTGGACGGCTGACCCGTGATTACACATTCATACTTGTATTTCATGAACTCGCCGGAAAGAAACTGACATCAGTAACTCAAACAAATGCTAACCTCCATTAGCGGACAGCTTTATTGCCAGTACGATTCTCATTCCTGGATAATTGGGCTGATTGTTTGATGCGATGTTCAGTCACAGAGGACATGTGACGAGGTTTATGCTGAACTAAACGCGTGAATCCATTCCCTGTCTGTGTGTTTTCCTGTCTCTCGTTCTTTTGCCTTTTTGTGTTCCTCCCCGCTCTGTCTGTCTATCTCACACAGTTAATAATTCAAATGAGCACTGCCAGATCACTCCCTTCAAAGGGACTGGAATGTTCTCAATGGTGCCTTTTTCTTTTTGTCATGTGAAATCAAAGCCCTTGAAACGCGGTGGAGATATCCTCAGTTAACTCTCCAACACGGCTGTTTCGGCCAATTAAAGAAAGATCAACAAACGGCTCACGGTTGATCACCAAAAGGAAAAAAGGAAGGAAATCAGCCTCATCATTTCTGATCACTGTCGCCCTTTTGTCTTCCTCTATTTTGTCACATACCCGTGATAATCAGCATAATCATTATTACCACAATCACCATCATCGTCCCCGCCACTGTCAACTCTGTCATGGCTGTCTTCTGAGCCCGTGCTGCTGGCCTTTTCCAGAACCGGATTTACCCTCAGAGGGATTTACAGAGTCTGCACATGTGTGGATTTGTGCAGGTGTTCACACATTTCTCTATTGAGTCCCCCCCCCCCCGACTCCTGAGATTCAGCTGATTTGAAGCATTACAAGAATTTAAATCCGCTTTTAATCTCTTCTCAAAAAAACATCCACCGAACATCCCTCTTTGTGTACGAGACACAGTTTTGGCGTGAAAGGAAGCTGTGGAGTGGCTTGCTTTTTTGGAGCACAGTGCTCCAAAAAAGTGCTACTCAAAAAAAAAAAAAAAAAGGTTGAAAGCAGCAGCTCTAGCAGTAAAAAAGCCATCACATGCACTGGGAGCTCAGTCAGCACTAATCAAAGGCAATACAAGCGGAGACTAATGGGGCCCAAACGATCGGCGGCACATTCCCGTGCTCCACTGTTTATCGCATGACCGCTGATCAATACGGCCCACTCGCACTAATCTTCATAAGAGATGACTGTTTATTTCCCTTAACTCCCATCAATCTGACAGTGGGGAAGGAAGTACCCAGATCCTTTACTTAAGTAAGAGTAGCAATAACACCGTGTAAAGTAATCCATTAGGGAAAAAGTGCTGTGTTCAAAATAGGGCTGCAACTAATGATTAGATTCCCTATCAATTAATCTGAATTCTGTTTTCTGGATACGTCAATTGGTCTGAAAAATGACAGAAATAAAGGAAACAAAAGTGAAAAACCCCATTGAGAACCAAGGTATGCCTTGATATTTCAGTAAAAAACACAAAGGTGTTCTATTTTAAAATGTTATAAAACTATGAAAGAGAAGTAAATTATATCTGGAGGCTGAACATTGTACTTTCTACCATTGTTGCATGAAGAAATGCTGTAACAATGCATTTATTATATAAATATTTATTTTAAAATACATTTTCTGTCAACAAATTGACTGCTGCTTTTTATTTTATTTTAACATACATTTTTATTAATAAACCTTGAACTTTATTTTATTAATAAACCTTGAAACCTTGAATATTTTTTTATTCTTATTAAACTTTAAAGCCGCTACAGTCTTTAAAATGTTATTTATTTTTTACATTTTTTACTTCCCAGGCCTGTTTCAACAGCAGTCTCATCACTGCCAGGATTAAGGGTTCATATGAGAAAATATGAAGGCCATCATTCTTTTTTAATAAACATCATCCCCAAACGTATACACATTGAAATATATAGAGTCTAAAATGACGGAAACAAGTCTATGTAATACCCAAAAGTGTGTTGGTTTTTAATATCAGAATGTTAAGTACCCCCAGTCAGCGTAACTCTCCAAATTAACTGAAACATCCAGAGAACATGACTTCTGCGTCCTCAACGGTAGTTACAGCACCGGTTTCAATTAATTTGTAATTATAGGGGTCATTTAAATGTAGTGGAGTAAAAAGCCCCTCAGAATGGGGATTATGTAATAATATGCATGGACCCAAACTTTGTGTGAAAGCAAATATGGAACTTCATTAGTGAAGTGTGGAGTATAATAATCCCATGTGATGTGATCAGTGGAGAAGAGGTTGTAGTGTCCAGTGGGGAGCTACGCCCCCCCCCCCCCCCCCCCCACCGGACACACGGCCTCTGGAGACGCGCTCTGTCGAAAAACAAAGCAGCAGTGTTGGTGGATTTTGCTGAGAAGCAGCAAGGCCTTTGGAGGGGGACCCTTGAAGTGCCCCTCTGACAGGCTTCCTCATTATCTGGCATCTTCAGAGTGCCAGCCAACCCCGCTACAGAAGAGGGGGCACGAGTACGCCTCCATCAGCCGGCCCCGGGGGTACTCAGAGGAGGGTAGGGTTGTGCTCTCGTTAAAGGTCCGCTGATTATATCTCAGGCCCAGAGCTTCAGGGATCCCCACTAATTAAAGGTTGTGTCATATCTGTTAGAGATAACAAACCTATGTAGCTCTTTTTTTTCATAAATCAGGGAGTCTATTTTACCCTCCTCCCTACTCTAGCATCATGTCAGGATTGGT